CGATTCAGCCGCTGGTCAGTTTTAGCACCTGTTGAATTGCAGAAGCTGGAGGCAGAGCAGCTCCCATGGTCCGGCTGCCCGGAGCACTTCCGGGTTCCTGATGGTGCCGGACCATCAGGAGTGCGGGACCATCAGATACCAGACCATCGGAGTTTTACTGTAATTGGTGGGTCCGTTAAATAGGACATACATTGAAATTCCTGTTTTGGGAGTTGGGTGCAACAGGGAATGCTATGGTAATTGCTGTGTGGTCCTTGTATACTCTTCTATTTTCTTCTCTCTCCTGCAAACTACTGACTGTTCTGCTGTAGGGGCAGGCATGCAAGGGGATACAGTGTCTTTTCTCAAAGTTGAGGGGGGGCACTTATTGCTGAAATAAATGGAATGAATACTAAATAAGACTTAAAAGGGCAGAAGACTATTAAGCTGAATCTTAAGTTCAGTTTTATTTAAAACTGTATATTTTATTGGGAAATGTACTTTTATATTTGTGTCTTTTTAAGAACTGGTTGGAAAACTTCTGGGTAAATGGTGTTTTGATGAAACAGAGAAAAGAGGTTTTTTATTATAGTATTGCAGCACTAATAGTTGGCTTTAAATAGTAACCACAAAAGTATGTGTTTAGTTTCTAGCACACATGGTATAAAACTATAGAATGCGGCTTGGATATTAAAACACAAATTGTTCACAAGTCAGAATATACAAAATAGTCAGTAGCATTTTTCTTATTTTGTCTATTTGTAAATTTCAGTTATTGTGGAAATTACTTTGAATGGGTGATGTGAATTTAGCAAAATAAACTTTTACTGATGAAATATGAAATCATTCCAAGCCTACATGTATTGCTAGAGGTGCTGTAGAAATACAGCAAAATATACTTTGTCTCCCAAAGAAGTTACAGTATAATTAACACAGGATCTAAGAAGTGGCTGTAATGATTAGAGATGTCAACTCATAGATGACTACTTAATTAACCGGTAAGCCTGGGCTTATCAGCTAATCTTGTCGACTGAACACACTTCTCCTCCTGCTGCCTCTGTATCAGAGGCCGCAAGTGGAGGGAGCAGGAGCCGGTGCCTGTGGGGACCTGGCTTAAAAGCCGGCTCCCCACAAGCACCAGATCTGCTTGCCCCCTAGCCTCCACACTGCCGTCTCTGAGAGAGAACATGAAGGGTGATGAGGGGCAGGTGGGAGTCGATATACATAGGAAGTTGGCTTTCAAGCTGGCTCTTCGTGTGTGCCGACTCTGTGGACCCGCCTGCTCCCTTCCCCCTTGCTGCCTCCTACAGAGACAGTGGGAGGAGGGCAGGCAAGAGCTGGTGCTAGGAGGAGCTGGCTTAAAAGCCAGTTCCCCCCAGCACCAACTTTGCAGTGCTGTCTGCTCCCCCAGTTTTTAAATTGGCTCAACTCGTGGACCAGCTTCCAACTGCCACCCATGCTGCTGCCTCTGATAGAGAGGCAACAGAATAGGGTGGATATGGGTTCCCCAGGAGTGGGGTCAGGAGTGCATTGGCTGCCAGCTATTATGCTGAATAGTCGTATTATTGCTAAAATGTGATGCGGTTACACAACTATTCAGTTACACACTATCTAACATTCCTAGTAGTGATCAAAAGGAATTGTAGAAAATGGTTAAGAGAAATAGTAATAGAAACAGGTTTACATTGACAAGATATGTGCATAACTAGCTTCTTTCAGCAGTGTGCAGAGGTCATGCATGGAATCTGTCTGAGATTCTGCGCTGCATCTATGGGCCAGATCTGGTGGCTTGGCAGGCTGGATCTGGCCTGCAGAGGGTATTTTGTCTAGGCCTGGTGAAATCTTCTTAATCTAGAATAGTATGTGTATATTTTTTTTTATGTGAAGGGTAGAGCCCATAGTATCTATGGACATAAAGATGTTAGATAGGATTATGCTTGCAAGATAATATTTCTGTAAACAGATCTTAAATGTTCTAAGTTGCTATCTCTGTTTAATTCCTTGTAACAGGAAATGGATTTGATCAGGGGTCAGGTGCAGCAGCTCATCTCCCTGCCAATGTGGATGGGCCTACAGCCTGTAAGTATTTTATTTAATTAAAAAAAGGGGGTGGGGCAAAACAACCTTACAAGAGTGCACAAGTTACAATAGAAGACATGTATTTTAAAATCATATGCAGTACTTTCCAAAAGGAACATCTTCATTTTTGCTAAAACTCTTCCTTTTTACTTGACCTACAACATCTTCTTGCAAACCTCAGTCTTCTAGGTTGTAGGAGTAGCAATTATTGCAATTAAGGTTTCCTAATACAGTAGACTTCTGATAATCTGGCACCTTTGGGACCTAGGTGGTCCCGGACTATCGGATATGCTGGAGTATTGAGAGGTACTCCGACAGGGGGCTGTGACGGGTCTGCTGGGACCCACATGGCTGGCCGGGGAACGGCATGGCGAGGGGCGAACCCTCTGCCGTTTTGTAAGCCCTGCGCTGCCACTGAGAGTTTCCCGGAGGGGAGTGGGCTTCCCACCCCCCCCCAGAGTGAAGTAGTTATCACCGAACGGGGGTAAGGAGCGGCGCTGCAGGACCAACCCGGCAGCACCCCAGCTGCTCTGCTCTGCAGCTTCCCCAAGTCCACCGCTTGTCAGTTTCAGCAGCGGCAGCAGTGGACTTGGGGAAGCGGTGCGGAGCAGAGCAGCTGGGGTGCTGCCTGGCGCCGAGCAGGGGGGTGAGGGACGGCGCTGCGGGATAAGGACAAACTGGAAGGGTTGGAGCGGAAAGGGTCAGGCTTCAGGGGGCTGGATGGAGGCTGGAGGCAGAAAGGTCAATAAGCATAATGTACTAGATACACTGTCCTTAGAACCCAGGATTACTGAATCTCAGTATTCCCCTGCTGCCAGCAAGTAGCCCTGAAACACACTGGCAAAGTGTGTACCCAGTCTTTCTGCAGTGGATGGTTCATACAGACAGTGACAACCTAAGTGGTACTATTCTGTGCTCTGGGTCCATGTTGGAATTAATGAGCTTCCACATGATGAAATTTCTCTTTACAGTTCGCATTTTTGTTTAAAGCCTAAGAAATTTAATGCACAAGCACCCTTTATGTAATTGAAAAGTGAGCAATTCAGAAGTTAGGAAATGTCTGAAGGTGGCCCATAAAATTTTAATTTGATTCCCTTCTTGTGTATGAATTATGGTTGTCTGATCAGATACTATTTATTCACAGGGGAAACCTTATTTATGGCATTTCTTAACTTTTGAATGCTGACAGTGTTGACTTTGCAATCATAATGTTTTTCAGTTAAATTAATGTGTTGAATGAATTGATATGTAACAATCTCGTCTTCTGAGATAAATTCAGTATTAACTAAAATCTTTTGGGGCTGTCAAAATGAGTTATTTCTAATTATTATGGCTAATGATAGTATGATCATTAATTCACTTTTATGTTCTTGTCTGCTTCTCTTCTTAGAGTTGATTCATGCACAGCTTAACTTTAAAGACGTTCTAATACATTATGTCTCTTGTAATTATTAGTCTCTGATGGCTTATACATGACCTATTTTTTAAGCATTCCCAAAAATAAAATATTGTTTTACTTTGGGGTTTAAAAAATTGTTTTTAGACACAATGAAAGGTAATATACAACAAAGTATGCTGTGTTGTTTTTTCTTAATACAAACAATTGAAAATAATCCCACACAAAGAAGGAAATTCATTAAACAAGACATTGCTTCTGGTTATTCATTCCTAAACCAAAAAGATTCTGTGGACTTCACTGCTACAGATCTTTTGATGAAATCGATTAAAAATAACCAGTTTTTCAGGGAGTGTTTTGATAGCAAGTTTTTTTTGTTACCATTATTTTCTAAAAATGTTTTATATTAGTTCATGAATATTGGAAGATGATTTTCTTCCAAAGACTCTCAGCAGGCTGTCTAGATGTGGCTAATCGGTGCAATGTATCTCTACCATGGAGTGTTATAATCTTGGTTGTATGGGATACTTGTTGAGAATAGATTTGGGGAAAATTGATCACATTATTGGAGCTCTGGTTTTAGATTTTGTGTGTGTGTGTGTGTGTGTGTGTGTGTACGCGCGCATGGTGCTACACATTTTTGTTTTCCTTTCCAAAAATGCTAGCTAGACTTTTATCCTTTAGAATAGAAGAGAGTTCATAATTGTTCTTGGTGTCTGAATACTATTTCACCTTTTCAGGCACGTCTGGAACAAGAACTGAAAAAGACATCAAAGCTTAGAAAATTTTGGAATCTGATCAAGAAGAATGATGAGAAAATGGATGAAAAGACACGAATGCAGTATGTTATAGAAACAGGTTTTTTTCATATTAAATTCAAAGCATGTAATATGTTGCTAGTGGTCCAGTTAGCATTCCTGATACACATTTGTTAGAACTGAATAGGTCTGAGTTTCAGAAATCAGCATCATAGCTGAAGTTGTTTCTGGGTACAGCATTGTAGAACAGTATTCCAGCAGATTATCCTATGTAAAATACTTAATAGGGATTATTTATTGAGTCATCACCAATTAATCAACAGTTGAACTAGATCTTAAAAAAACCTGATAAAAGCCAAAAAAGAACATTTAACATTCCATAGAGTTGATGTATAAATGTTTCCTCTTTTCCAGACTTTATAGATGAAGTATTTATTGCTTACAATTAATGGTTTGTTTTGAGGAAATGTATCTTACACCACAATATTAACTCTTCAAAATGCATTCTGCTGTGTGTTGATGAGTAAGATGAAACAGGCATCTGTGATAAATCAATAATTACCTGATTTGACTCAGTGGTTAAGTGGTAATCGATGAGTCACTTCTTTGCAGTAAAGGTACAAATGTTGGCTGTGCTAACAGGTAAGACACCAAAAAATGATTGTTGACAAAAAAAATCTTGGCTTGACAGTTGCTATTTAAAAATTATCATTTTTAAACAGTTCCAGTAAAAGAAACTTACACAGGCTATAAACTGCATTTCATTTAGAACCTCTTGTGCTAATAATGAGGGTAATATATTTTCAGTCTGCATTTATGAAATATTAATAGTTTGATCTTATGTTTGATTTTAGGGCATATCGAGAGAGAAGATTTCTTTCACAGCTAATCCAGAAATTTATCGGTGTACTAAAATCAATACCCCCTTTAGGTAACGTGTGTGTGTGTGTGTGCGCGCGCGTGTGTGTGTGTATATATATATATTTTTTTGAAGGAGTCATTGGAAGCTCTTAGGGTGCTGAACAAGCACGGGGCATTTATGTGTGCCTGCCGAATGATGTGGGCCAGCCCCACCCCTGGCGCGCGGCGCATGCTGGTACCGACCCCTGGTGCATGGGCAGCCCTTGTCCTGGGTGCGCAGCACATGCGCGATGCCGGCCCCGGGTGTGCAGTGCATGGGCGGCCCCGCCTCCGGGCGTGTGGCACATGCGTGGCGTGAGAGCAGCCCTGCCCCCGGGCGCCTGGCAGCCCCAAAAGGTTGGGGACCACTGTATTAAGCTAATACAGATTAAATGCTAAGAAATGTAGCCACATTGGTTCCCAGACATTAGATGAAAGAGGGTGAGCGAGGTAATAAAGATGTTAGCACATCCATCATATCTCTCTAAGGCCAAGTCTACACTAAAAGAGAAAGTCAAATTAAGATATGCAACACCAGCTACATAATTTCCATGTGGTCTCCACAGCAGAAGTCTGACTCTTCCTTCCCTCCTTGCAAGGAGCAGGATTACCAGTGCTAAGGGAGAGGGAGGGTCTTTGAGTTCGATTTAGTGGGTCTTTAATAGACCTGCTAAATCGACCTCCAGAAGGTCAATTTCAGTAGTGTCAATTTTCCCTGTAGTAAAGATATGGCCCAAAAATATTAATGTTATTGGCTAACGGCCATGCTCCTGTGGGAGCTTCAGCTTTTTAGCTTGTGTCTAAATGTGATACACTTTTAATTTTTGAGGTGTGGTGAGAAAATTATGTTGGGAAATACATGATAAATTGCAGGGATTTTTTGTTTTCTGTGCCTAGGTCCTGTTTCCATGGACAAAGTTCATTATTGCGAAAGATTCATCGAACTCATGATAGATTTAGAGGTAAGATAATTGTAATTATACTGCTTGTTTACTTCTAACTGTACACAAACTACTCCAGATGGAAATGGGTTCGTTCTCCATGTTTGGAGAAAATTCTCTCATGTTTTATGACGAAATCTGGCTGTAAAAACTGTAGTGAGTGTTATTTGGTGCACTGACACAGATCTGCCAAACTAGACCTCTTTACGTAATAATCCATGATTTGCACCTGTGAAGTATACTGACTGTTTAAAATGGGATAAACTTCAAGATTACAAACAGTGGCTTTGCCTGCCTATAGTTAAAGGTTTGCCCCATGGCAGCTGCACAGCAAACTGACCATTGCTGACTGTAAGAGGGACAAATTCAGTGTGGGCAAGTCCAGAACTTAAACTGCTCAGAACAATTAGACATTGTTTGGAGCAGAGGCAATAATTCTGGAAAATGAGAATGTTCAAAGATTTGGATCCATTAGAAGAATTGTGCTGTTAATGTACAATTGACCAATTTTAAACCTTTTGGATTGCCCAAAGCAGTTCCAAGAGCACAGGTTTTTAAAGTCATTTTCTAGTTACCCACAATTTCTTAATTGAAAAAAAAAAAAAAAAAAAAACCTGTGTGAAATGCTGTCTAACAGGACTTGAAAACCAGTGTGAAGTTTGCAAGCATTGATTTAGAAACTTCAGCCTGCAATTGATGTGTGCAACCAATGAGTTTTTGGATAGGTAATGACTGCATCTGTTGACACCTTGATTGAATGATGATTTCATTAAACTTCAGTGGTCATGGCATTAGAAGGAGCTATTTGCTTGTCCTTCTAGGTATGAGTAAAGAATAGTCATGGGGTGAAATTTCGGTACTACTGAAGTCAATGGAAATTTTATAGTTGATTGACTTGACCTCAATATTTGCTATGTTCGTGGCAAGCTTGACAGGAAGAGAAAAATACTGCATTGTCAGAGAATCTTTGAGATGAGATTACAATTGGCTTAGTTTCCTTCACTAATCATACAGGTTGAACCTCACTTAACCAGGACTCTTTCTGGCAACATCTGTGGTCTGGCATGACCACGGATGCTCCTGGAAGAGAGAACCCCAGAGCAGGAGGGCCAGCAGCTGGGAGCCCTGTGAGTCTGGTGGCAGTGGGGCTGCAGCAGCCAAGGCAGTGGTTGTGCCAATACAGCCTGGGTGGTGGTGGAGCGCTATCTGGGCTGCCTGCGGCCTGGCAGCGGAGCTGGGACCATGGCTGCCCAGGAGGGAAAGCCTGGCTCGGACCGCGTCTGCCCAGGCAGCAGCAGGGTCATAATATTCTGGGCAGCTGCAGCAGATCTGCCGCTGTTCGGATGGTGGCATCCCAAGAGGGGAAACCTGCCATGGCCATGGCAGCCTGGTAGAAGCAGTGTGGCTGGCCACGTCCCACCCAGTAAGTAGCGGAGCTGGGGGTGGAGCTGGCCATCAGGCAGCCTGGCTGACCCAAAGGAACCAGCAGTGGGGAAGGGCAGTGGGCTGAAGAGCTGATGTCCAGGGACCTCCCATTGTCCAGCAAATTCCCTCATTTGGGACCTATCGGGTCCAGAGGATGCTGGACCAGGGAGGTCCAACCTGTAGTAGGAAAGCATATTGATATTTCTGGGCCACAGTACATGCTGCTAAATAGTTACACTGGTGTTAACAAATTCTGGTTACTAACAGTATTTTTCTGGGAACCAGCCCATTATTGACTTAATGGGATTAGGATATTGGCAACAGCATGTCACTTTTTTGAGAACTATGGAAGATAGGACCTACTGCAGGCAGATGTGTAGGGCTGTATCCAGGGAAGGAAGCACTGGATGTACCTTCTGTGGCTGCAGCCCCTCAATCCTGCCTGCTCTTGGGGTTACACAGGAAGTAAGTGTCTAGGAAGCCTGTACGTTTCTTAAATTTTTAGTTGTACAGTAAAACTCCAATTGTTCGGCATCCAGTGGTCTGGCACTCCCGATAGTCCGGCACCAACTGGAACCCGAAAGTGCTCCAGCCAGCCGGACAACTGGAGCTGCCCAGCCGCTGGCTTGCAAGCGGCAGAGGAGAGGGGGCATGAGGCAGGCAGCTGTTTAAGACCCGGGGGGAGGGTGTTGGCAGGGAACGGCACGGCGAGGGGTGAACTCTCCGCTGTGTTACGGGGAGGCGGTGGAAGCCCCGCACAGTTGGCTTGCAAGTGGGAAAACCCAGCCGCCAGCTTGTAAGCGGCGGCCGTGGAGAGCTGCCTGTGTCTTGCCCCCTCGCCACTGCTGTCGCTTGCAAGCCGGCGGCTAGGTTTCCCCACTTGCAAGCCAGCTGCGTGGGGCTTCCACCACCTCCCCGCAACACAGCGGAGGGTTTGCCCCTCGCTGCTCCGTTCCCTGCCAGGCCCCCCCCATGCAGTGTGGGTCCCGGCAGACCCGTCACAGCACCCTGCCGGAGTACCTCCCAATACTCTGGCATATCCAATAATCCAGCAACCCCTGGGTCCCAAGGGTGCCAGATTATCAGAAGTCTATTGTACTGACAAGTTTCATGTCTCTGTTAGTTCATGAATAGTGGGTTTATTTTAGTTACTTCATTATCATTAAACTCTGTAGAGTTAGTGCCTATGAGTTATTACTGACTGCAGTGAGATACTGTTTCCTCTCTTCCCCCTTCCCCTCACTCCGTTCCCATTACTTAGTGGTGGAGACTACATTCTGACTGTTTAAATTCTATCTGTATTTTCAATTGAGTATGGTTTTCTTGATTTCTTGTCCTCAACTGTTACATAAGATATGCTGTTAAACAGCTGCAATATTTTATATCTGTTTTTCAGTAGTGGGGATGAAGTTATTTCCTTCCTTCCCATATGTCACGAAAGTTTAAAAAGGCTTAAATATAGTTGCATATAGATTGCATTCATTCTACTCATTTGAATGGGAGTTAGCACAGATGAATTGCATTCTCAGATAGATGTCTTTGGGAGGATTCTTTTATGTAAATAACCATTATTAGCTATTTATGCAGCACTAAATCCTGACCCGCCATCTAAAAATAGGAAGATATATATGGAAAGCCATGGGTTTCGAAACCATATATGCTAAGACTATTAATAATGCAAAATTATTCATTCTAGGCCCTGCTTCCCACAAGGCGCTGGTTTAATACTGTATTAGATGACTCCCACCTTGTTGTTCATTGCTACTTGTCTAACCTTGCTAAAAGGGAGAAGGAGGGTCATCTCTTCTGCCAGGTGAGTTTTGATGCTTCTGAAGAAAGCTCTGAAGCAGCTCAAAATATTTACTGCATCTTCTAGTGTGGTGTTCTTTGCTGAAAATGGTTACTTTGTGACACGTTTTGAGTGGAAATAAACTAAAAAATTGGATTACTATTAAGTAAGTGCTATGCATAAATATATTTTAAATCCTCACAACATTACTTTTTCATTACCTACGTATGTGTGTACTTGTAGCCTTGTCTCTCTGTTTGAGCAGCTTTTAAAATTGTATACCCAACATTCACCTAGCAGTGTGTCCTATCACAGATATAACAGAAGTCAGTAGCTTAAATCTTTCCGTCTATTTGACCTCAGATTTTTTTTCAGCCCTTCCCAGAAGCTATAGGAAGTGAATGGTGTATATATCATTTTAGACAATGGATTGGTGTCAGCTGACTAGGATGAGGGCAATTCTGGCCTAGCAGCAGGAGCCAAAGCCATGGGTAAAACTGGAAGGGAGAAACTGGGTTCCAGAGACAAGAGTTGAACTGACGTCCGTAATCAGCAGCAGGAGCTAAGGGTGTCAGGTCAGAAATTGGACTGAGCAGGCAGGGAGGGTTTTAAGATGGGCAGAACAGCAGGCACAGTGGTGGGTATGAACATGGAGAAGCTAGCAAGCTGCTGCCGCTGGCTTAAGATTCAGCCTGCTGATTCCTGATAGTTGGGGAGTGAATTCCAAAACTGACTGGGTTTCATGAACATCCTATTAAATTTGACATTAAAATCACATTATTCCAAGTACTTACCTTCCTTTTCTTTCTGTGTTCCGACAAAATCTTTGCAAAAACTTAAAAATCAACAAGTAGTCTAGGAGCACCTTAAAGACTAATAAAACATGTAGATGGTATCCTGAGCTTTCGTGGGCACAACCCGCTTTTTCAGATGAATGGTGTTAATATTTCACAAATTGGTAATTGTTAATGTTTTACACCCTTTGAAAGCTGGGAAAAAGAACATTTCTAAATGCAATACTATAGCAGCTATTAAAATCAAGTCCAACTTGAATTGAAAAAGGAACTTGGTAACCAGAATGATTTGACCTTTTTTCTGCTCAGGTCTGCCTCTGTGTGGAGGCCTGTCAAAGCTAGAAAGGGTTTAGTCCTCTTGATTTGTTTTGAGGACCAGTTTTTGTAGCAATTGTTCTGAACCATTCATAAGGGAGTGAACTTTGATATTTTCCTTTTTATTAGGATTGCACCCGGATGTATCCAGATATAGCTTCTCTGTTGATAGGAGGAGCTTTGCCCCTAGATATGCAATATAGAGTTTGCATTCTTTTTAAAGAAAGGTGCCTTCTGTGATCAAAACAGGCTAACTAGTAATCTGTTAGCATATAGCATTACAGTTCATGAATCAGGCTTCTGCATCTATGCAGTGTGCCAGTGGTTTCAAGAAGTCCATGCTTATTTTAATCTAATTTAATTTTCTTTACTAAATGGGTGGTTAAGATCTTAGTGCAGCATTTAAAAATTACAGTACTTCTGCTTTTTTCATTGTGCCTCTCTTGAAGCATATCCTACCAGATTATGGTACCTCCTCACTTCATTGACAGGTGACTAAGTTTTTCGTTTATCTTTTTAAGTCGTTATGCATTTATTGCAGACATTAGAACTTCACTTTATATACTTGAAGTTATTTATTATTATGATGGTCTCTGAAACTTTATTTCATGGCTATTAGACTAAATTCCCTATTATTAGTCTCTATGTTAACTTTTGGCAGCTTCTTAGAGAATTTTCTTGATTAAAAACCTGATCAACAAAGCCTGAAGTTGAGATGTTGATTTCCATTTTTCTTTGTGCATGTTTTATATGGCAGTTGTGAATCCCATTTTCATATACTACTAATGTGCATGTATCTTGTTTCAGCTTTTAGACATGCTTAAATTCTACACTGGTTTTGAAATTAATGACCAGACTGGGAACGCTTTGACAGAAAATGAGATGACTACAATTCACTATGATAGAATTACTTCTTTACAGGTATGCAAAAAATGGGTTTCACTTTTAATATCTTTTTTAAAATATAATTTGCAAGTAAGGTGGTGATTCTGGTCTTTATAAAAGGAAACAGCTTGTTTTTCCTACTGTATTGAAGGGAATGGTGCTAATTTTTCAGTTCCTTTCTCTGCATATCTTTGCTCAGAAATATATTGAACTCCAAATAACACACACTTCAAACTGCATGAGCAAATTAAAGAGCGTAACCTAACTCAAGTGTCAGTCACAATTAATAAGCCTATTGTCACTTCAGCAGAACACCACCACCTCCTGTTTTGATCTTATCAACTCATTAGCTAGGAAAGATAAGTCTACATAAGGCTTACTTGTGTGGGAAATCCAGGGTTCAGGAAGAAGTGTTGTTGGTTATACAATAGACGGCACTTTTCCTCAGAATTAGTACAGGCAATCCCCTGGTTACGTCAGTTGGACCCCTAGTTACGAACGGGAGGGAGGGTCCCCGGTAGTGTGGGGTGCCTCCCCCACTGTTGCTGCCTCCGGCGGCACGGGAGGCGCTTCCCCCCAGCAGACCAGGGAGACGCGGAGCAGCTTTTCTCGCCGCGGAGGACGCGGGCGGCGGGACCGCCAAGACACCCGGTCCTGCGCTGGGCTGCAGCCTCCGAGAATAAAGCTTGAGAATAAAGGACTGAGGGAAGTGAGGTGTGGGAGAATAAAACTGAGCTCTGGAGAAATGTTTGGCTAGAGTTTCCCCTACAATATGTCCCATTCCGACTTACATACAAATTCAACTTAAGAACAAACCGACAGTCCCTATCTTGTACGTAACCCGGGGACTGCCTGTATACTAGAACTTGAAGGGACCTTGAGAGGTCATCAAGTCCAGTCCCCTGTCCTCATGGCAGGACCAAGCACCCTCTAGACCAGGGCTACTCAACACACGGCCTGTTTGTTTGCGGCCCAAAGTGCAGTTTGGGTTTATGCAGGGTCAGCACTTGGCTCGCAGGTGGGATCCTTTGAACATGGTCTTCACCGGGAACACGCTCCACAACGGCAAGTCATCTTTCAGGTGGGGTGCCCGGCAACCAGCCATGGATCAGTTTCACCAGCAGCTGAATCTGGACGCCTGGGACAGAGCAGCTGGGGCACTGCCGGGTAGGTCCCCGCAGCGCCGCACCTCAGCGCTGTGGGAACCAACCCGGCAGCACCCCAGCTGCTCTACCCCAGATGTCCCCAATTCAGCTGCTGCTGAAACTGATCAGCAGCTGATTCCAGGAAGCCCGGGGTAAAGCAGCTCTGCCTCGGGCTTCCTGTAGTCAGCTGCTGGTCAGTTTCAGGAGCGGCTGAATCGGGGACACCTGGGGTACAATATGTAAAAGTTCCGACTTACATACAAATTCAACTTAAGAACAAACCTCCAGTCCCTATCTTGTACGTAACCCGGGGACTGCCTGTACTCAGTATATATTTTGATAGTACCTACTGCTAATAACACTTTTAGATGAGATATAAACCAAGTCCTGACTATCGTGGTCATTTTGGGACTTTTCACAAGAGCGCTATGCATGTTTCACATGGTTGGGGTTACTATGTAAAGGTCAGTTTAACCTCTCCTTACATTTTTGGGGGGATTTTCTAGAGAGCTGCTTTTGCGCATTTCCCAGAACTATACGATTTTGCTCTTTCAAGTGTGGCAGCAGTGGATACTCGTGTTTCGTTGGAAAAGCTGTGCGGACCCCTTAGGTAAGCCTTAAATATAGAAATTCAGTTCCTCTGTTTCAAGTCTTCCAGCTTTTTTATGTATATTGTGTACATGTGTAATGCTGTAATGAAAATGTGTCACATTGCAAATTGACTCCTGGTTGGGAAAAGGCATTTGAAATTGAGACTCTTGGGTTTTGCTTCTGATTTTCTGGATGTGCTTTAGTTTATTCCTTTTGTGGAAGTGAATACATAAACACCTTGCCCCATTTGGGTAAGATGAAATGAGTTTCATCTCTGGATGGAGTGAAAGGAACACCATCCATTTGAAATCTAGTCTTTTTTTTAAAAATAGAAAAGTTAATATTTTTGTAACTTTGTGCCCTCAAGTCATCTTGCCATTTTTTGTGACATTACCATAGCTGACATTTTGAAAATGTTTTCCTTTCGTTATTGCTATATAAAAGGCCCACATAAATCATAGTGTAACTCCAGTGTAACACAGTACAAGTGTAAATGAGGGCAGAATGATCAAAAAAGAGGCTGAAAGAAAGTATAAATAAAACACTAGAGCTGCTCAGAGAAAATGTGACCGAACTGAGTCAAAAATCAAACCATTTTTCTCAACTCAAAATGATTTATTTTCTGGAATTTTCCTTTGTATTCAAAGGAATTTCAAATGTTTGGGAATTTGTTCTGATTCAAAACGAAGCCAAGGTTTGAAATCTTGAAATTGTTCAGAAAACAGAATTTCTATTCTCTTAGACTATCTCAGACTCTACTTTATATTTGTCCCAGAGAGTAAATTGTATCAGTGCTGGCCCTAGGTTTTCCACATGGCAATTTCATGGAAGAATAAAAATCTAATCTTCAAAAATCAATTTAATCTAATCTGGGACCACAGACATGAAAACAACCTAATCCTTTGGTTACTACATAGTATCACTAGGGACTCAGAGGGTATGTCTATACTACCCCGCTAGTTCGAACTAGCGGGGTAGTGTAGACGTACCCTGGGTTAATTTGAGCCACTCTTTTGCCAAAAATTCTAATCTTAGTTACAGTTCAAATATTTTCATAGAAGTAACATTGTGTATGTTTGTTATAGTTACAGTAGTCATTTTGTAAGTCAGTGCTTCCCAATTTTATTTGGCCACGGAACCCTTTTCAGCTTGAAAGAATTTCCAGCAACCCCTAGGGTTGCTAGGGGTAAAATATGTTGAGCCCAAAAAAAAAAAAAAAAAAGCCCCACCACAAAAAGGCTCTGTCTCTTTATGAGGGGGCCGGGGAGTGCTGAGTTCTCATGGAACCCTTACTTTGGGAAACACTGTTGTAAGTTGACTGGATGTCCCTTTGTCTGCTGTTGTAACAATTCTTAATGCAGTTCTGGGATCTCTTATACCGAAGGATAGGTTAAACTGCTTTTTGTCTGTCTGGTCATATTCTTAGTTTTCTTACTATTTAGTCTTAATAATACTACCAAAACAATAACAGTAGCAGTGAATATAATCCCCCTCCTCAAAGCACCTTCTCTTGAATAGTTGTTTGTTAGAATTAGTTTTCTACTAGTCAGATATAATAGACTAATCCCGAAAAATTTAGACCTTATCTAGACGGGCATTTAAACATGTCATATTTGCATGTAATGTGTGCTAAAACATTTTAAAAGTCTAATGTGGATAGGTACTCAGCTTTTAATACATTAGCTCTACACTGGACCGCTGTAGACCACTTCAGAAAATATTAAAGGCAGTGTATATTATCTGTTCAAATCTCTCTCTCTCATATATTTATGTTTCTAGTTTTTGTATGTGAATTCTTTCTGAATATTTGAGCTGTATCTGTCATTATTTGTTAGTCACTTTCTATAATGTTATAAATGCTGTGCTCATCACCTCTAGGCAATTACTAGATAAAGTAATTAAATAAAAACTTTGCTTAACTTTTAAGTTTCTTTAGAGGTTTTTTTTGTTTTTTTGCAATAGTTTTACAGATCAGGTTACACAAACAAGTCTTTTTTTTTTAAAAAGTTTTCATAAAAGCTGTTAAAAAATTCACCCAGTGACTCTTGTATTCTCCTCTCTCCCCTCTCAACATTATGCAGCCCAAACACACTCCACCGGGTGGCATCATACCTCTGCTTGTTACCAGCTCTACCTGAAGGGGAAGATACAAGCTATGACAAAGAATTTCTTCTGGAATTATTGGTAAATCCCACACACGATCATCTGTGTGTTTTTTCTTGCAGGAATGATTGTGTTCACTTTTTCATACTGAATAAAATCACAGCAATTGCAGTTCTACAGCTGCCAGCCACATGATGGCTTTCACACTTAGGAGTGCCTTATGAACTACAGCAGTATGATGACTGAGTTAATAGGAAACAAATGTGAATTCAAATGTAATAATTAATGACTAAATTTTAAACAGGGAAAAGGATGACATGAAATATAGCTCGTCTGTGAAAATTGTAGTGTATCTAAATCAGTGAGGGGCAACCTAAACTAGTGAGTAGGCTGGTTGAGTGTTCCTCCTTCATCTCAGTGGGCCACAAGATTGTCGTAATCAAGACAGTCTCCTGGAAAAGGGTAGTTTTAGATTTTCAGTTGGATGCAGAGGGAGCAAGCACGTGGCTCTCAGTGTTACACATATATTTCACATGCCATTTCTATAATTGCATGTCACTGTTGTAAAATCTGTAAGAAAAGAACTACATGGACAAAAATCAGCAGGATCTTGCAGTCCTGTGTGTGGGCAACAGTTTAAAAAAAAAAGTCTTGTGGGCCACACACACAACCCCAATAGGCCATGGGATGCCTACCACTGGTCTAAACAGTGGCAGCTTTAGAAGACTGTTAGCAGTGTCTCATCAGCAGTTGCTTAAATTCCACATATCAAAGTTGTTACAGCATGTGTAGAAGTTTGCATGAATCCTTAGTTATTTATACCAGTTTAAAAATATATTTAGATTGTGATATTTTTCCGTGCTGTCTAGAGGGATTTAAACCTTGAATTCCCATAAAATTTAAGTGAGAATTTATAATATTGGAATATTTTCTTGGTGTTTGTGTCAGCAGTTTGAAGTCAGATAGTGGAGTGATCCTGCTGTCAGTGTGAGGTATCCTCAAACAGGATGCCGTGGTGTCAGATTTTTTTGTATAGGGTCTTGATAGTGATATTTATTGCTGAGTATGAAATATCAGCCTTAACTACTCTAAACAAACATTGGAGTTCAGAAAAATATAGTGAAACTTTGTTTCTTCTTCAGTTTAAATTATAACCTTGCTACGGAACCTTTTTTGAGCAGTTTTCTAAAACTTCTTTTTAATAGGGGAAGAGAACCTTTCCTCTCCTGTCTTGTCAGGACACTGAAATTACAGGCAGTCCCCGGGTTACGTACAAGATAGGGACTGTAGGTTTGTTCTTAAGTTGAATCTGTATGTAAGTCGGAACTGGCGTCCAGATTCAGCCGCTGTTGAAACTGATGAGTTTCAACAGCGGCTG